TAAAAATTTGCTCCTTAATAATTAGTAGATGTGAAAAACATTACCATTGAAATCTACCTGATGACTTCATATCCATGCTCAGATGCCAAGGAGCTCAGAAAGTAACTGACTGTCACTAGTAATAATCACATATATTGAGATTAGAAGCACATGTGCAAGCATCTTAGTGTCAATTGTATTGAAAATGAATTTTTTTGTATGAAACTGTGCTTTAATAGTGAAATTGAGCTCTTTTTTAAAGTTTAAAACCTCATTTAATTTTATGTCTTATAGGGTTTATACTGAGTACAATATTGTATAACTGTATTAATTCAACATGTCAATGCTGTTGTAATTTTTTTGAAAAAAGGAGTCAATATAATCAACTTGTGCGGATTGAAAAAAATACAAGAAAGCGTAACCTAAATAGGTCAAAGAATTAACCTTACTTGCTACAGGAGTGGGGAATGAACTATATTAGCAACTTAACCTAAGTTACTCCATCTTGCTCAGAATAGCTATTTTAACAGTAACCTCTTTTCACTTATAGGAAATATTTAAAAAGATAAAACAGCCTTGAGTTCTAAGAAATAGCTCAATCACAAACCAGTGGAACGTGCTAATCTCAGACATTCTACATCTGGCTAACCGCTTGTATTTGCTTCTGTAACTCGCTTGCTATTTTAGGTCACTTGACACAAAGTATAAGACCACCCTGTTACTGTCTGACCACCCAGTAACTGCTGATTCCAGCTTTCTTACTATACTTGTTATGGCTAGGAAGTTGACTAATTTAAAATTACAAAGTTGATTGCCAAGTTATATGACTGGATCACTTGTCTGTATAATGATTGGTTGTTGATTAATAGATTCAAAGTTCTGCTATGTTGTACAAACCTGATTGGTTCACAAGTGTCCTGTTTGAGTAATATTTCTGTAATCCTATAAAATCTCTGACCCGACAATCATCAGAGCTGCTTCTACTCCCGAGATAGACAGCCTGGCCAGTCGAAAAATAAAATTTACCTTGCTACTTAAAAAAAATGATTTAGACAAAAAAAGAAAGAAAAAATATGTATTCCCTTGAGGCTTTCTCCCCTCCTACATGCTGGAAGATGTTAAGAAAGGAACCAGCAGTCTTGTATGTGACATGGGAGCCGTGGATGAAGATGGCGCAAGTTGTCCTGCTGTCTTGGAAATGACTTGTAAAGTGTAAAATGTGCTCCCATCTTACTCATGCCATTGTATCATTGGACCTCTGGTTCCTATTGCTTCTTAGCTCCTATCTTAACTAATACAGAATATGATGAAAAAATAATAATAAATACAATATTTTTTAAAACTATAAAAAAAAATCACCTGGGAAGATAGTCTTAATGAGGAATTGTCTAGATCAAATTGACCTCTGGGCATGTCTGTGAGGGATTGTCTTTATTGGTGATTGATGTGGGAAAACAGCCCATTGTGGACTGCACCATTCTCTAGGTAGGGGGGTCCTAAACTGTGTAAGAGAAGAGAAAGCTAGCTGAAAGCAAGTGAGCAAAGATCTACACATGCATTCTCTCTCTCCTCTTGGCTATAGAAGTGATGCTTTAAGCGCTTGTCTTGATTTCCCCTCAATAATGCACTATCACCTGAAACTGTAAACCAACTAAACCGTTTCTCCCTAAACCCTTTGTCAGTGTATTTTTGTCTCATAGCAACAAAAATGAAACTACAACAGGTTCCATGTCAGCGTTTCCCCTCCTTCGTCTTCCCAGTACCCCACAAACATTAGTCCATGTGGATGACAGGGTCCTCCTACACTCTCTAGCCCTCTTCCTGGGACCATGTGTCAATGTCCCACACCAACACAATATCAAGTTTTGATATCTTCAATGCAGACGGGGGCCTGGAAGGATTCTTCCAACTCACAGTGTCTTTGTTTCATTCTGTGAGTTCATTTTAACCCCTTTCTCTGAGCCCTTGCTCAGTATCTGGACTCTAAGTCAAAAAGGAAAAGAATGTAAAAGAAGATATGGCTTCTGCCAGATGATGGTGGAAGAAAGTCACATCCATCTATGCCCATGCAGAAAGCCATGGCAACCTCTCTAGGAAAAAGTCACTAACAAGGCTGTCCATCCCTGACCCCATGCAGTATTAATGGCAATGCAAGTTTCTGGTTGCTGTTTTGTGACCTAATCTCTTCTTCACAGCTGCCTAGCATTTGTCTCCCCCTGATTTCACCTGTGTAGAAATGAGTCTTGGAGATCAACTGTGAGTAAGCAGTTAATTTGCCACACTTCCACCTACATCCTCTCAGGAATGACTCTAGGTCCCACTTCACTGGGGAGAGCCAGGCCTTTTGCTTTGTGGTTTCAATCTTTTTCCTCAGACTACTATAAGTGGTAAGAGTCCTCTTCACAAGAAGAAGCCAAGCCTCTCCCTACAATGAACAACAGTGACTGAAAAGGCAGATTGCTGCCCAAGATTCAGAAAAGCTGTGGGCCCACTCCTAAACAAGACATTTACATCACCCCCTCTAGGGTCAGGGAACATTGAAGAAGAAGGATCAGGAAGTATGTAAGAGCCTGAAGGCAGGATGAAGGGCTGCAAAATGACAGTCTCTAGACCCCATGCAACCACTGCAATCATTAACTCAACAACTGCAGTTACCTGCACTGGGCCCACACAAGACCAGTCCTATCAACAAATCATGCAAGGAAGAAGGTCTCATGGGACCCTACGCTTTCCCTCTGAACTATTAATAGATTCTGAAATAATCTATTAATAGGCTATTCATAGATTCTGAAAGCTGTGTAATCACTGCTGAGCCTGCCAGGCTCCAACAGATAGCTCCAAACCCATGATCACAATTTGCCCTAGTCAAACTCAGTGAGTCACAAAACAAAATGAATAGACATGAATGTGAGAGAGAGATTTCCAGGGTGGAGTGGGAGTAGACATAGTGGTACGGTGTTATAGGGTAAGTGGTTGTATGAATTGCATACATGTGCAAAACTGTCTAAAGAAAATTTAATTAATAAAAAATAAAATTTTAGTACAAATTAAAATGTTAAAATTAGGGGACTAAGAGAGATGTCTCAACAGTTAAAATCACTGGCTGCCCTTGCAGAGGACCAGGGTTTGGTTTCCAAAACCCACGTGGTAGCTAACCACCGTCCATAACTCCAGTTCCAGAGGATCTGATGTCCTCTTCTGATTTCTGCGGGCATTGCACCACATGGGTGCACTTACACACATGTAGGCAATACACTCACACACGTAAAATGAAAATAACAATTTTTTCAAAAACTTTAAAATTAAACAAAAAAAAAAATAAAGAAGGAACTTAGAGATGTGAGCTCCACGGATGGTGTGGTGCACCCTACACTGGCATGGGTGAGATCACACAGCATCATCTCACCAAGGACAGAACATCAAACCTTGTTGAGGTCCGACCATGTAAACCCAGCTGACATAGGTGTTAAAGAAACATGTACCCATTTTCAGTTATGTGCCAGGCCGTAGAGAAATTTCTGTTTTCTGAAAGACAATCTCCCCCATTCCCTCTCTCCTCATCCCAGTATCAGCCCATGAGCAACATCATGCTGACAAATAGCAAGTGAAGATTCTCCTTGTGTTCTTCATACTCACACATTTTATTCTCAACGATTCATTACTTTAGATCCAGTGGTTGGACTTAATGATGCGTTCTAAACCAGGGGAAAACAACAGAGTCAACAATGAGTGATGATACTGACCAGAAAAGAGATGTGTGTTTATCAGTTTATACACACACTGCATGATTTATATACAATCATATGAAAATGAAGATATAAAGAAAAGTATCCTGATACATCCACAAACAATTAAATGATCATATTTCACTGAATGTAACATTAAGAGCTGCATCATCTTTGTTCTGCTAAAAAAAAAACTTGTCAATTAAACCCTGATATATTTCATTGATTAGATGATACATTTTAATTTGAAGAAATGGTAAAATGGCAAATAAAATGCCTATCTTAAAATCGATAACCTGAAGTACTAAAAGTTACACTTGAAAGTAGCTAACCATAAATGATGGTTTTCAGTATATCCCAAAATTTCATTTCCAAAGAAGTAGGACTTAGCTAGAAACTACTGGTTCAAACAAATACAGAAATGTTGACACTTCTAGTTGATGCCTTCAGAGACAGACAGCGAGGTCAAAAGTATTCTTTAAGGCCTCTAAGCTTCTGGTTACTCCAGTCCAAGGAATTGTGGTCTACTGGAAAGAGTCCCAACCACAGAAAATGGACAGACTTTGGTTAATGTTTGCTCCTGGCTCTAATTCTGCTTCTAATGAGCTGGGTGACTGTCTACACATCCCATTGAGTTTTCTGCTAAGTTCCTTTCCTGTACATTGAGTGGGTTGAACTAAAATCTCATTTCTAACTCAACTCTCATTTCCCAGCTTTCAACTTTGAAAAATCTATAGTCCTCGGTTCGTCTATACAACCCCACATCAAGCTGAAATGAACCCACATGCAAAATTCTCTCAAAAGATGTATTCTGCTAACCATCGAGTTTAGCTGGAGACTCCACATTTGTAAAATGAAGAGAGGAATGGCTCTTCTTGCTAACAAATTCTGGGTGCTGAGCTACAGCACCTGTTCCTGAACAGGTGAGAACACTGGCCCTCCAGTGTGTCTCTAGAAGAAGCCTTACCTCTGCTGCCCTTGATTTCCCCTTCAATGAAGACACCCTCATCCTCAGAGCATCCCTTATCTGAAAAGCAAGGACACCAATAAACAGATGTCGGAAGAAACAGTGGCATCTCCAAGGCTCAGATTCCTGTGCCTCAACTTTGAGACAAGTGACTCTGGCCAAATCAGCATCAGATGGCTTGGCAATGTGCCCAGCAAACAGAAGGACTTGGATAAAAGTTAAAGGGTGATAATAACAATATGCAGAATTATTTTAAATTGTGGGCATGGTTTCTGCTCTTTTTACCAACAGTACTTGCACATAACTTCCGGCTGCCTTGATAAATACCAAGAAATGAAAGAGTTCAGCTCCCTCCTTTCCTCCATGTAGCTGATGCACTGAGCCATGCAGAGTAAGAGGATGCAGACTGCTTATCTCTGAATAGGACACCTATATCAAACTTCTTCTTCCCAAGGTTTAGGGATCATTGCTGAAGAAGGGGCGAGAGAGACTGTAAGAGCCAGAGGAGGCAGATGACCACAAGGAAACAGAGTTTTCCAGACAGCAAATTCTGTCTTTATATTTATTCATATAAAGCCACAGTAATGGTGACAGTACACACAAGACCCATGTAAATTCAAGCCAGACAAAAGTCCTAGCATAGACATGGGGAAGTGGGTAAGAAACCCCAACCCTACTGGAGGAACCATTGGAAACTAATAACTGCAGGGAGGGAGTCAGGTTCGTTTAAGGGTGAGACTTGGTAGGTTAACCAGCCTCCAGTGGATGAACCCACATTAAAGGCATTTGGGGGCACAAACCTGACTATATATATATATGAATATATGAGAGAGAGACCATAAAATTGGGGGAGGGGTAGTATGGGAATGCAGGTAGGGAGGGGATCTAAATATATTGTATAAAAATCTCAAAAATTCATTTTTTTAAAGGAGTTAAATAAAAGTAAAAGTCTTCTCCCTCCTGCTTCCCTCAGCCACACAGAAGTCATTGGCAGTGAATAAAACAAATTCAAATTACCTTGTGATCCATAATGGTTCCAAACAGCAAGATGAAAAAGCCCTGTGATAAAATTCAACAGAATCATGAGGGACAGTTTCTCAAACAGCATCCCAGCCATTATTTCAATCCCACTCTTCTGAGTAAGCTCTAGGGCAGCAGTTGTACATTAGAGAAGCATTTGCACTGATGCAGATGAGTATGCATTGATAGAGATAGCCTCTATCAATGGGTGGTGCCTGACCATGGTGGCAACCCCAGCTTAGTCTGTAGTGAGCTCTAGACAAGCCTGAGTAACTTAGTCAGACCCTATCTCTAAAATAAATAAAATAAAATAAGATATGGGCCAGTGATACGGCTTAGCAGATATAGGTATTTGCAGCCAAGCCTGACAACCTGAGTTTGATCCCCAGGATCACCGTGGTGAAGGGAGGGAACTGACTCCTGTAAGTTATCCTCTGACCTCCACAGACATGCCAGGGTGTGTATCTGTGTATACACACACAAAAATTAATTACTTAGGGGTAATTACATTTTTAATTTTTAATTTATTTTTATTTTATGTGTATGTTTTGCCTGCATGTATGTAAATGCACTCTACACATGCAATGTCTGAAGAAGCAAGAAGATGACATCAGATGCCTGAAACTGGAGTTACGGGTGGTTGTTAGCCACCATAGTGTTGCTGGGAACCAAATCCCATTCCTCCGCAAGAGCAGCAAGTGCTCTTCACCACCGAGTTAATCACTCCAGCTCTAGTAACAAAATATGTTTAAATAATAAGAAAAAACACATTGATCGGTATTTCTTTTGAATCTACCTCCTCTTGGGTAAGGATCACCCTTTGTACATGAGGATTATTGATGTCTATTGAATGACTAAAAATAGTGACAAAGGGTTTTCAACAGGACTGTTATAGTTTAAATGAGAAATAACCCCCACAGGCTTGTGTGTTTGAACACAGAGTCCACAGCTGTTGCTGCTGTTTTTGGAGTGTGTGGACTTTTTGGACTTTGGGCCTAATGGGCTCATGCAGGGTATAATGATGGGGCTAGAGGGCTAGAGCCAGACCAGGTCCCTGCAGGAGCTCTCTGTTTCCTGATCCATGGAAGATGTAATAAGTCATGCCACCAGCTCCCACCACCAGGGCCTGAGCCCCAACTTCCACACTTCTCCCCCACAAAGTTGTGGGTTAAATAAATCCTTCTGTCCTTGGTTTATTCCATCAGGTATCCCGTGCCAGCAACAAGAATGATAACAAGTAGACTTACTAAATGCAAAAAGTTCTTCCCAAATATCGAAGTAGCTATTCTTTCTCATGAGGACAGTTACACATGGCACAGAATCTGGTCATTCAAAACCACAGTTGTGAAAGTTCAGTAACTAGTTAAGCATGGACTCAGAAATTTTAAGCCACAGGGAAGGGACTCCTCACCATCTAAGGACAGCCTTATAGGAAAGAAGCACTCATCGGGTGACAAAAATTAAGTAAATGCAAGTCACGGGGAAGGGACTGAACAGAACTAAGAGTATTTTGGTATTTTTCTGGCAATAAAAGAGAAACACAAGTGATCTGAAGAAGAAATAAAAAATGCTTCCCAGGGGTTCATTCAGTTATAAAACAAGAAAAAAAAGGGATGGATGAGGGCTGGCTGCAGCTCCCTGAGAGAGCGCTGACCTGGTATGTGGGAGCACCTGGCTTAGATTCCCAGCACACAGGAAGAACAGAAGAGGACCCAGAAACGGGAGGGGAGGGGAGAAAATAGAGAGGACAGGGGAGGGGGGAACCGAAGGGAGAGGGGAAGGGGAAGGAAAGGGAGGGGAGGAAGGGGAGGGGAAGAGGAGGGAAGGGGAGAAGGGAGGCAAAGGAAGGGGAGAGGAGAATGAAATAATTAGTCACTGCAGTAATTTCAAGAGTAGGCAGATTAGCCAGGCATGGTGGCTTACACCTTTAACCCCAGCACTCAGGAGGCTGAGGCAGGAGGATCACTAGAAGTTTAGGGTTAGCCTGGGCTAAGGAGGGAGATCCTGTCTCGAAAAGCTAAAACAAACCACAAAACAAATGGGAAAATTTATGTCAACCCAAGAGGTTTTGGTTTCAAATAAACTAAGTCTAAAATCAAACTTTTCTCTTTAAAACAGTACAACAGGAAGAGGAAACTGGTACTCCATAGTTGTTAAAGAATGAGTTAGATACATAAATAATCTAACCTGGTGTTTCTTTATCTGGATTATGTTTTGTTTGGTGCCTTTGGTACTCATGATGTGTTACTAGGTGTCTGGCTCTTTTATTAAGTGATTATATTATTTAAAGCAATAGTTGGGCACCTTCCTGTGAAGCACCAGATACTGCAAATATTTACACTTTGTCAGCCAAAGCCTCTGCTGCAACTATTCAAATGTGTCCTTGTAGCTCAGAGGCAGCCATAGGGAAAACAACAGCAAGTGTGTGTTCCAATTAAACCCTATTTACAAAAACAGACACAGGACTGCATTTGCCAAGCCCTGATTAAGTGCATAATTAAGATTACAGACCTGCCAAATTTTCTATTACTCATAGGTATAGGGAGCAATCTTGGCTAATGATAGCCTCCCCAAATGTAGGGTTGGTAGCAAGACAGTAGAAAAACGTTCAGAAAAACCAGATGGACTATCTTACCAAACCATGTATGTTACAGTGGGAAAAGACAGTGGAGATCATTCTAGATCCATATCTTTATTTCACACAGGTGAAAGTTGAGACCTAGAGACAAGTAGCCTTCCCAAGACCAGAGAACATAGGGCAAGATCTATGTCTATGACTAGCAACTAACATTTATTTCACAGGAAATAGCAAAAGAGGAGCACAAGAACTGACTGACTGGTCAACATCCAAAGTGAAGGTCCTTAGGCTACAGAAAGTGGCTGTTTTTCTGAGTTCCATGGAAAAGGACAAAATTAAGCTTATTTTGTGGCATAATGTGAGTATAACTTTGCACATCCTTGACCAAAGAATAGTCACTTGTAAGCGGTTAACTTCCGAAATTATAGGAAGGACCTAGTGGATGAGTAAGAGAAAAGGACATTAGCACCCCGCCAGCTCTGCTAAATCCAACTTCAGTCAAGCCTGTAAACTCACCCTGTGATGTCTGTACCCAGGACACTGAGACAGGAGAAACACAACAAGTCTGAGGCCAGCCTTAGATACAGAGTGCGATCCTTTCTCGAAAACTTTTTTTTTAAATGTGGAGGTTAGGCAGTGAGATATCTCAGTATATGCTAGTGTTTGCCACCAAGCCTGATGACCCCAGTTTAATTTCTCAGATCTCCCTGGTGGAAGGAAAGAACAGACTCCCAAAAGTTGTCCTCTGACCCCTATACAGGCTCTGCGGCATATACCCACACACATACATGCATGCATGCTTGTACACACATAAAAATAATAAATAAATAAATACTTTAAAAAATAAAAATATAGTGGAGAAATTTATGTCAATCCAAGTCGGAGACACCATGTGAGTCCCCTGAAATATGAAGGGAACACTTGGTGTCCTTTATTGTTAAAGGACATCTTTTGCTGTCTAGCCAGAATTATGCAGCAAATCTCCTTCCTGGGACTCACCTGGAAAGCATTAAGCAAGGCAAAGATTATGTGGAATACCAAGGGTACACCTTGTATCAGAGTGGCTAGTCCAAAACCCCAGGTCAGTCCCAGCAATGGAGTGAGGATGGCAACATTTTTGCTGATCCTGATAACTGTGGCCATATCCTGAGACTTGGAGCTGCCAATCGAGGGTCTCTGGGTGTTGATAGCAACAGCCAGAACCACAAGGAGATTCATGGCCACAATGACCAAGGCTGGAATGGCAAACGCAAAAAGAGTTTTGGTTGGGCTCCAATTAAGCCAGCAGGCGTCCTGTCTGAAGTAGCCTCCCTTTGGCTCTGTTACAGCAACAGTGGTGACAGCGATCACCAGAGGACACCCATAGCCTATGGCAAACCCGATGACCATCATCCGAGACTTCATCATCCTACGAAAAACGACCAGGATTCCATAGATGATGAGCAGAGCTTTGAAGAGCATCCAGAAGAACAGGGAGAGGTAGAAAAAGTGACTGAAAAACGTCACCACAACACACCATTTATGGTCCTGAGATTTTCTGTGAAAGTTGGAGCTGATGATGAACCACACATTGGCGGTCAGCAGGGACACGGCTATGTTCACAATGCACACATGGCGCATGTATGATATCTCTGTCACAACCACACGAGACCAAACTGTGACTTCAATGATCAGGCAGAGAACCAAGCTAAGAACAGACACAGTGAGCCCAATAGAAGTGATGTAGTCCAGAACCTTGTTCCTCACAGATTCAGGTGACATCAGAATGGAGAAGGACATCACTTCATGGGTGCAGTTACAGTGGCACCTCACTGTGTTGATGACGTCTGACGTCATTTTACACCATTGGTCATCCCACCTCCTTTTCTCTGAATGCCAGCCTACACAGTGACTGACAGCACTCTGGGATTTATTGATTTTTTCAAAGGTGAGTATGATTTCTTTCAGACCCTCTGGCAAAATCACTGACAGGATCAGACCATTTACGGGTTTGGAGAGACTGGCATTTCGCCAGTGGGCTTCTTTCAAGATGGCTCCCAAGGTTGGAAAAGCTATGCCAATCGCTTGGGAGGCTCCAGGTGACAGCTTCTGTAGCTCTCGTCTGGGAATTTCTATCAGTCCTAAGATGCCGTCTGTAGTGTTACTCACAGTCATAGAGAAATTGAAACTCTTCTCTGAGGTATTGTGGTCGATGTGAGAGCCTTTCGTCTGAATAAAAAGTTCGTCCACAATGTTCTCAGATTCACTGTGGATTTTGAGTTTCCTGGCAAACGAGTTCACTGACTCCAGCAAATCTGAGCTGGCATTTTTGTTAGGAATGAAAGTCCAATTTGAAATGGCTGCTGTGTCAAGGACGTGGTTGGCCACTTCACCATAGCTCTGCAATGGAGAAACATCTGTTAGTGTAAAAAAAAAATCACTTTCTAAAATCTGAAACTTTGGAAGATCTAATTATCTCATTTTATTTGACACATCCCTCTTCAAATTCCCTATTTATTACAATCCCACATTAGTAAGCTAAGGGAAGAAAATTAAAATACCTCTGTGTGTCTGTGTGTGTCTGTCTGTGTGTGTCTGTGTGTGTGTGTGGTGTGTATGTGTGTGTGTGGTGTGTGTGTGTGTGTGTGTGTGTGTAAGGTCAGGTATGGTAGTGCATGCCTTTAATCCCAGTACCCGGCAGAAGCAGGCCAGATCTCTGTGAGATTGAGGCCAACTTGGTCTACATTTTGCATTCCAAGTCAGCTGGGGCTACAGGGAGACCCTGTCTCAAAAAAAAAAGATGATGATAGATAGATAGATAGATAGATAGATAGATAGATAGATGATAGATAGATAGATAGATAGATAGATGATAGATAGATGATAGAT